TAGGTCGAGTGTAAACGTCCCCCTTCCACGTAAAAATTATGCTTTTATTTGTTTTTTTTAATTTTATTCTCAGGTTCAAGCAGTGGCAGGCCTCTCATCTCTTCGTCCTACGGATAAACCTTGTTTGTCGTTCTTCACTCTCTTTCCTTTCTTTCTCTCTTCATCTCTCTCCATCTCTCTTCTTTCCTTATCTTTAAATAGTTTTAAAAAATATAAAAATTTCAAAAATTATGAAAATCCGTTGGAATTCAAGAAAGTTCTGACATTCTAAAGTTTGCAGGAAGACACCGCGCATTTTTTCTCTACGCGAAGAAAATGAAAAAGAACCAATTTCATTTTGCATTTCGATGGAAGCTTGAACGGTCGTGCCCTGGCTCACGACAGTTTCATTCCTCAACACGCAGTTTATGTGTGAAGCGGTCGTGCATAGCTTGCAAAACACAATGATGTACTTAACCCTGAAGTATTCTCTCTTCTATTGTTCGAAACAATGGAGTATTGTAGCCGATTAGCAAGATTGAGATTATGGAACTTATGTTACAGGATTGGAGCTATTAAACCCAAAAACCAAAATGATTAAATGAGAAAAAATAGGAACAAGGCGTCTCTATCGGTATTCGTTTGACGTAGTAAGGCGGGTTGCTGATTTGGAGCGTTTCTAAGCCGTTCTTAAAGTGGAAAGAAATATAAATAAATCCATTTTCTATTATTTCATCATTATCAGAGGAATGATGGAGAAGCAGAATGGAGGTATATGAATTGAAGTAGATAGGTTACACCCACATATGGTATTACTTTTGCATAACGGAACTGGCTAAGGTTGAGTTGTCGTTTGAGTAAGAATGGATGGATCCCTCCGAACAGAAGATAGAAAAGTAAGTGTGAGGTGAGAGATAACCTCGTGAAACACAAAGAGGGAGAAAAAGATTGAAAAATATAAAATTTATGTGTAATAAGATGTTTTGCGGTAAAATAATACAAGTTTTTAGGAATTATCTGTTAAGTTCAGGCCAAAAATCATTTACAAATAGAATGTAGTGAGGAGAGCATGCTCAGTTAATCCTTTTCTTTACTCTTAAATGGAATTAATCTCTTGATAAAGTTTTTCTTCTTTTTCCCTATGGAACCAGAGCCATTGAGAATGGCGGTTCCTCTGAAACGATAAGTTTCAGAGCAGCATGAAAAATGGAACTTACTCATTGCTATCCTGGCTATCCATTGAATAATTCGTAGAAGTTTTCCTATCTGCTAGCGACATTCCCGAGATCGAAACAGGGCTCGTTCCTTCTGTACTGCTTCCACCTTCGAAACTGCGGAAAGATCGTGTTTCATCGCGCTTGGATACAGGCGATTGCACAGAGTCGGATCCAACCAACTTTCTATGTAAAACAGGGCCGAACCGAGAACCCTAAACGAGTTCATCACTAAGAAAAGTTGGGCGAAAACGATTACTTGTAATAAAGTTCGTGTATTTCGGAGAAGTTTCTGCTCTTTAAGAGTAATCATTTGGAGATCCAAAAGTAAAGCTGATAACTCGAGATCTTCGCTGAACTGATTTTTCAGCGGCACAGAACGGAATCCTTTAATGAACCATTTTTATGACACCTAAGTGACGCTCACATACCACAACGTAGTGAGTCAACTGGAAAAACTGCTTGACCTATGAAGGGATCAGTTTTTGGTCCCACAAAATCACCATCTTCAACGTAAAATCTAAGAAGAGCTAATTCGGGGCAATGTATTTCAAAAGTGAATGTCTCATTCCATACAGGATTGAGACCATTGGAAGCTGTAAAGATATAAGTAGAGCAAGAAAGAAATCGGAATAACAAATACCTATCGTTCTCGTCTTGTGTGCACGATCGTCACAGGCAGCTCCTATGATTTCGACTTCAACGAAAGGAGAACAGATTCCTTTGTTTTTATCTTTCCGAGATAAATGTCGTCCAGCGATAATTTGAAGAGTTATTCTAATAGGCTCGGAAGTAGTGACCTGGAACAGTTATTGAGGGTTTGTGAAAGCTTGGAAGACAGAGCGGAGACCTTTTGTCCTTGACTTGGATCGAAATTCTCATTCAACAGATAGTCCGGCTTCAGAATATAACCGCATTGACCATTAGCCAGAAATTTTCCTTGGTTCAATTGCATCGCCTTGTCCCCTGTTTGATAATTGAGAGCAACCTATCGAGTGGGAACGTTAGATGTCTAACATCCTCACCAGCTTACCATGTGACATCCAGCATTCCACATTGGAATAGGATTATAGTTTGTTGATGTTATTCGAGATCCATGGGGATATACTCGTGAAAGTTGCTTGAAATTGAACTCAACCATACCCTAAGAGCACTACTACGACAAATCTTCAACAGCAGAACAAACCATTTCTATCAATTTGTTCAATTTTCCTTCAACAAAAGAGCACATTTCATAAAAACAACCGTCTTTCACACTAGCTGGGTCGAAGGGTACAGCTTGGCAGTAAACCTGGAAAAGAATTGTGTACAACGGGTATGATATGTTTACTGACCACAAGATTAGAGAGCTCAGCAGCAATTCTAGCACTCTTCTCTTTCTTTTGAATAGCTGTTAGTTTGTCGTTCACCGATCGCGTTAGATAAATCAGTTGGCTATACCATTCGTCCACTTCCTCATTAGCTGTTAACACAGAAATAACAGCAAAAAAAGAATTATAACATACAACTAGCGGCAATACTCCATTGCTGACCACTCCATTGAGCACTTTGAGAGATTTTTATGGCATGAGACTTAGTTCCATCTTGTAACCGTTCTATCACTGTTCCACCAAGCTCGATAGTATAGTAGTTAGTTTCTGAATCGAGAAAAACGTTGAGAAGTATTGTAACTCTTCACTACCTCCTTGGACAGCAGACTTCTCTGGTAATATTTCTTGAACATACGACGAAGGGAACCATCCTGATGCTGAACCATACCTTCCTAAAAGTATTGTTTGTTTTCCCGAATAAGTTCTATCACTTGCCTCTCCAGTTGCCTTCTTCTTTACGAAGAACTGTGATTGTGGCATTCGCCGGAAAAGATAAGTCATCGTCGCTAATACCATGATATGGTCTCAAAGATCTAGCTTGAATCTGAAAAGACAAGGATTGAATTGATGGTTGGGAGAAAAAAAAATATCGAACCTCTTTATTGAGTTCTCCTAATTCCATATAACATCCTGGAGTTGATTGCCCAATGACTTCACTTGAGTAAGGATCAATATTCTTTTCATTAACCTAATGCCTTGGTAATTAGATGAAAAGACAGAGCAAGTCCCTACCGGATATCTTAGGCAAATTCCACGAACAAATTCTTTTTTACCATAGTATTGAACGATTTGATTCAAATTCTCAAATACAGACTGGTTCACAACGAAAATTCTTCCTTCTCTCTTCAAACGATAGTGCCAGAACTCGCCATCTACTCGCAGAGAGAGAACGAAGACTGATGGATCAGCTGTTGACATGCGTATAAGGAAAGCTCCATCCTCATTTACTCTGCTCAAAAGTTCTTCAGCTTTGTCTTTGTTAGCTGTAGCTGAGAACCAACTGTAAATATGAATATGAGGAAACTTCTATGTTGAAGAAGCCTTACGGTTGATTAAGATGAGGTTGAGGTTGAGGACATGGTGTTGTTAAGCCGATGACGAAGTCAGCAGTTGTAAGATAGTGCCGCGTATAATAAGATACCAGTTCATATAGAGTATCACACATCTTGTTCTCAAGAAAATAATATTTCTTCTCTCCTATAAGAATGCCAATGACATATCCAAAGTATAAACAAACGTACGATCGCTCATGGTTGTTTTGATTCTAACATGATGCACTTTTCCCTTATGCAAGAAAGATAGTGAGTAATCTCCGATGAACAAATTAGAGTCTCGAATCATGAACAGTCCATTTCCTTTATCCTTATGCTGGAGTAAACGTTCTGCTGCTTCCTGAAAACAATAAGTTACATTACCTACGAAAAGAAAACTCTCTTACATTACGATCACATCGACCATGAAACCATTCTTCTGAAACGTGCATTTCATCAGGCTTCAGCTCGAACCCAGAATTTGCTTCGTCCTAAGATATGAGTAAATGATATTGAGGATGAGTCTCTGAAAGAACCTGCTCCTCATCTCCAACCTGACTCAATGAATCTTCAGAGAAGTTCTCAGAGCAGGTGTCATATAGATAGCACAAACGGTCATTGAACAAGACGAAGACATGCGGTTTCCATTCCTTGAAAAATAGGTTAGAGTAACAAATCAGTGATAACACTCACATGGCTGGTATTATCTTTTAGATAAAGAACACCTCGTTTCTCACAGTCTCGTGCGAGAATGTCAGTATCCTCAACTGAAAGGTTATATATGAGTTTTTCTACATTCTAGGTTTAGACTTACATTCATCTTGCTTCACTACAACATCTTCACTCTCAATAGGTAACTTCTTATGTTTCAGGATAATTTTCTTTTTTAAAGCAGCTGGAGATGGAAGTTGTGTCTCATCTCTATTGACCTGCAAACACAGCGTTAGCACATCAATGCCTATAGTATGGACTTACTGGAGCAACCAGCAAATAATCTCCTAAAATTTCTTTAATTTCCAGTGCCAGGAGACGTTGGGCTGGTACTGAACAATTGTCTTCTATGGAAAGAATAACAGGATACCTAATGCATAATTGATTGAAACTGTACAAGCAGGAAAACATACTCGCTAGTAATGAAAGCATAGTGCTTGATAATGTATAAAACATCCCGCAGCAAAAGTTTGGAAGTAATAGTGTAACCGTGATATATCACAATATCTTGGAACTCGTTAGAATTTGGTTTTCTCTGGCCATCCCAGCAATCCACTAAACAGAAATCTCTTGAGTCTAGTGAATGACAATGAACTCACATTCTATACAACGACACCCCATAAGTAAAGCTTGTGCATAACAATCTAAAGAAGAATCGGATCTCAATTGATCACCTGTTAAATATCTGAACACAGTAAAATCATTTATGAAAACTTCTTAGAAACGAACGTATTGTGACTACTTGCTATCCAGTAATGAGATAAAGGACGGTTCATATCCTGTATGACTTTTTCGTTTAAAGGATCCCAAACTGAATTCTCGCGTGAGAACAAGAAATCACAAAACTAAAAAGGAAACAGTTAAAGAGATGAAATCTGAATGGACACTAACCTCGTAAACGGTTAAGCTAGGCTCGACCTTCTCTGTGCAAGGGAAATGGTGTAAATACCTATAACAAAAGGAAATGAAGAACTACGATGAACATCAATGAAACCTTACCTTCGTAAGAATTCACAGACTCTCTGAATATTTTGAGCCATATCATCATATTGCTTTTTCTCGAGAAACCGCAAAAAATTATAAAAACTGACATTCAGGCCATCATCAGATAAATCATTGAAGCGTGAAGAAAACAACTGTAGAGTTTGAAAGGATTAAATGATAAGAAAGGATTATAAACTGACTGTAGGAATATGAACTAAGCTACGTGCAGCCTTTGAAAACTGAGCAACAGTCATTGTATCTTCAGTTACTTCTTGCAATTGCTTTGAGAGCACCTTGAACTGCAACGTTGTTTGTACAAACGGCTTCATGTGTTTACGAGCAACTCTTAAAAAAACAAAATCAACTGTGTGTACGAGAAGATAACATGCAACCGGTTCATGGGCATGAAAATTGAAAATGAAATTTAGATGTAGCACGTTAGACGCGTGCAAATTCCACGTAAAATATGTTAATTTGATTATTAAATACTTACGCTCCATTAAGTGGAGTCAAAGAATCGAAGCTTTTCGCCAAGAATCTCTCTATACGTATGTGATGCGATGAAGAGTCTCGATCTCTTGTATCGGTTACTAAATTACTCAAACCACTGTTCCACAGACGACAGGCTTCTAACGTTTCAACTGAAAGTCATTCCAAAGATTATTTTGATTTATAAGTTTCAAAACTAACATAGTAAAATCCAATTATTAAGTGTGAATTCAGTTCCATAAGAGATGACTAGAATCTTATTTGATTCGAAATTCTGTATTTCTTTATCTCTCTTCCATTTGTCAGTTATCTTGACTGTGTTGAGCTTATACTCAAGGGTCTGAACTTCTCTGATGTGTCTGATGTCGAGAGAAACGGCTCTGCCCCTATGAATGAGGGCCATTATAAATGAAAAAAAGAATAATGAAACTTAAGAGAGTTCTGTTCGAGTTTGAACAAGTGCAACATGCGCATATCTTGTCGGAGCACAAGCATCTTGTAGGCAGGATCCCATTTTTTGAGAAGATTCAATCGACAGACCTCAAAAGAATGAATAAATTATAGAGATAATCCGAATGAAATGGCTAACCTTATGACCCTTTTCCATGGCGCTGTACATTTGATTGTAATCCATCTCATGCATTCTGGTATATGTTCTATTACGATTTGAAGCAGAAGATGCATGAGTTGGAGTAACGACAGACTGTTTTCGTTGAGAATTCATTCTGACCACAGGTCACTAAATAGAAACCGAAACCATCAAAGGAGATAGGAAAACCCAAATTTGAGTGATACCAAACGTTGCCTAAAGCTGTGAAACTACAGGCATGTTATAAATCGATAACAGTGAAAGAAATGTTACACATATCGTCGTTCAACCCTGAGGAGAAATATATAAGAAAACATGTTAACTGTTTAAAAGTATATAGAAATCTCTGTATTGAAAAAGAACAAAAAACTACAACGAAATAAAGGCCATGATGAAAATGGTACAAACGCAATACATATCAGTGCGGCTTAAAAGATTAAACCAATTCGGTTAGTGAAGAAATCAATATCAAACGAGGTATTTCTTCATGAACGATGATTAGATTTCCGAAAAGTCAACGAGTTAATTAGTGGAATTCGGAAAGGGCACGGGACTCCAGCGATAGCTTGTGATCTTTCCGTATATTCGCTCATTACAAGGCAGCCACAACGGGTAACATTTGAAAAACTAATAAAAAGATAAAATTATACGATAAGAAATGCAAATAAGGAAAGAAAACCTAGCATAGAAACTTAGGATTATGAAGTGACAACTAATCATTCATCTTCTCACTTCAGCTGGCTGTCCAGCTCTCATTACTAACTACTGTGAGTAAAACAATCATCTACTAGTCTAATGAGTTATCAATAGATGATACTCAAATAATTTACTTTACAGAACTAACATACAATTTAAAGAACAAAAAGGTCAACAAATCACAGCTACCTTCTATGACTTCGCAAAATTTGTCGCCGTTACCGATCGATAGACGACGGTGAACCAGTTTGGACCGTCCTCCCAAAGCGAGCTTCTTGTGCTTCTTTCTTTACTTAAAAACTCAATCATTATTTGTAACACGCCCAGGTTTCAAAGTAAAAGCCTCGAAAAGCTATATACAAGACGTTTTTTAAAGTTTTAATTAGCGGAGATTCCGTTCGGGACGAATATCGGCGCTGAGAAGAGAGGGGGCGTGGCTTAGAGCGAAGAGGGGAAGAGAGGCAAGAGCAAGACGAAGACGGCTTATGCAAGTTCTGGCTAACATCGACAGTGTGGCGGATCGTCGTTGATAAAATGATGAAGCTAAACTGTATTCCTATTATATGTCTTCTAGCCATCATTCTGACTATAAGCTCTGTTTACGGAGCTCCTTCTAGCAACCGTACCAGTCATGTCGAAATCCCAGATAATGCTAACATAACTGGCAGCGGATATACTATTAGTGCATTTTCGCCTAAGATCTTCGTCCGTACTAGCCAATTCGATTTGAATTTTGAATCATGTGTTCAATTCAAATTCAAATTGAGCGAAACGCGTGTCAAGTGAGTTTTCTCAGCTACAGTTTTTGCACTTTCGGGGTTATATTGGTGGGTGGTCGATATGATAATACTTCTTGACAACTTCATCCTAATCCGGTGTTTCCTCTCTCCTGGAATCTATGAACTGTTTATTATTTCCAATTTCCTTTACTTGACAGCAATTTTCAATTATTATCTAATCTGATTGGTTGTAAAAGAGCAGAAAAAAAGAGGATGTTCATTGACGACCTCTCAATTTCCACCTTTTTTTAATGGACTTGTTCCAGATTCTGTTGGTTGTTAGCCTGAACCAACATGTTTCAAATGATTTCTATAACTATAGGTTTCATTGAAAAGAAGATCGTAGTGGCTTTATACTGCTGTTTACTTTATGTGAATTTCAACTATTGTGATAAGAGAGAGGGGGGAGTTATGTGTGAAAAGCAAATTATGGTTGATTCTTAAAGACTTTCTGTTTTTCCCGTACCAGGGTATACGATTGAGCAAAGTCAGCGTCCTTTCCGGTTGAAGAAGGGAATTTGAACTTCTTCTTCTTCTCTTCTATAGTTTGAGATATGAGTGTGACCAATAACTAGTACTATCTGTCAAAATGCGTTATAATCAGAAGCATCAAGATGATGATTGTTACTTTCAGACTGCGTGCCTACACATGTCAACTATCAGAAGGAGGTTATTGTGTTTTGGACAAATTTGCTTTTCCTAGACAGAAAGAAGGATGTTCATACTTACGACCATGGACACGCACTGATGACAGGTACAGAGTCTTTCCCAACATTTGCTGATAGTTATTGTGCTGCTTCGCATAAGACAACCTCGTCTCAAATCTCTGCCTTATCGTCCGCCTTTCACAATTTTTTGGGTGATAATCTTTGACACAAACGGTGCCAAAAGACATCGTTGACTCATCTTGTTTTATTTCGAAATGAACAATATTAATGATGAAATATTTTCTTTTTTCAGCTTCTCGTTCTATTTTGTGTTAGAACGTCGTGCTCGCAAATATCGGCCGGGCAAGAGACGTCATGTATCGAAGAGGACCATTTCGAACAAGCCGTTTGCCAACTTTGAGATTGACGGAATCATGCCTTGCAATGAAGTGTGTGACGGTCTGCTGGACAAGAAAAAGAGGAATCAAATTCCCAAATAAAGTGATCGTGTGCACGATTTGTAAGCAACTTAGCTATAGGTGCTGCTCGTCATAGGTATCGAACTTTAATACTTCACTTGCCAAATCGAATTAGTTTTCTCTCAACTTTCTGTTTCTTCTCCCTGTGCTATCTCTTCTCTTACTTTTTTTTCCGTGGGTTAGTTTTATGATCATAGACTTACAAATGTTAGACATAATACGTAAATCCGTAATTCTATTGTGGCCGGTTTCCTGATTGTCTCCTCTCTATGTTTGTTTTCCCAATATTCAGAGTTTAATAATAATAGTTCGGATGTTATCCAATATGTATTTCTATGTAGTTATTATTAGAAATCTTCTCAACTCTTATCGTCACTTTTTTCTGAGCCTTTAAGATGTTTAAGCATCATCGCAGATTTTTGTTGTAAACGATAAGGCATTCGCAACTATGATGGCTTCCATTTTTCCGATTGTGTCGATGAAACCTTTTTTCTCTTCATCTTTAACATGTCATATGTTTGTCTTGACAAATGAAATGAAACAAAATATAACGAAAGTGTATGTCTGTCCTAAAAGAAAGTAGTAGTAGTACTGACTTCAACGCCTGTCGTCATGTTTGTAACTTTTCTGTTTGCTCGTGGCTGCTTCTTCGCACCCCGTTCGTTCAGCATATATAACTGATTAAACAAAAGAAAACTCTTAGGTGAAGTGACCCTAGCTTCATTGGCGAAGTTCATGCACGCTTATTCAATGAGGAGGCTCAACAAGCTCTTGTTCTTTCACATTGTCTCCTATTACGAGCGTGATATCATCAAGAATCGTACCTGATTGAGAAATGAATGAGCTTAAGTGCTTGCAAAAACATCCTCTCGCCCTATATCAATTCGGTTTAACACAGCCATGCGTTTATGTTTGTCCATATAGAGAGCAAATCGTTGGCAGACGGGTTACCATAAATTCTTTTTTAGAAGATCGCAATAAAAGCCTCTTCAACATACTCTTGCCAGTCATGCCATGCCAAAGAGCTCTAATCGTTTTGCAAACAACATCTAATATGAGCATACTTGCCTCATCAATTGTCGTCTACCTTTCAGCCTTTTCCTCTTTCAACCACCAAGAAACAGGAAATGCTACGCAAAATATTTGTCATTTGGCTTTTTTCAGAGAAAGGGATCCTTTGTTTTAAAAGTGATCAACCCTACAAGAATCAGAGATGATTAAGACGTGTGGCGCCATGTTAGTCATAACCATCATTTCATCAGATTGCCTGAGGAAAATTCTATTTTTAATTTCCGTAGGCGTTCAGAGAATTTCCTACTTTAGTCATAGTAGCTTTTCTTCAACGTCTGCCATTTGTTTTGGAATACTGCTAAAGCTAACTTAGTCTTCTCTCTATCTACAACGACATACACATTAAGAACGCCAAAAAAATGAGGAGATGCAAGAGCTGATAGTTTGCATCTCTCACTCAATCTCTCGCTGGGTTCAGCTCGCATGATAGCCGTCTATGCTGAGAGTCCACGTACGATGCTTTAAGCATATATAAGATGAAGATGAAAACACAAATAACCCTGTGTTGTTCTTAAACAAGCTCTCAGTGAGAGAGAGTAGCAAGAGAATTCAGACTAGCTCGCATTCCTCGCATACCCCGCATGATTTACCTTGAAATTCATGAGACCTCTCGTGCTCTAAGCTAGGCTTAAGAAACTTAAGAGACAGAAAAGTCTTTACGTTTTCTTAATAATTTAAGTGGGCGAAAAGTTAGTGAACCGTTGTTCTTATCTGATTGCATTGCTCGTTATATCTTTCTGTTGCTCGTATAACGGCCAGTAATTAGAAACTCAAAAACGTACGAAATAGGTTTGTTCAAAATCAGATAACTTCGAGCATCAAAAAACTGCGTAATCCCGTCTTAGCACGTAAAGACTCGAGCCACGTCATTTCCACGTGGCAATGCGTGAAGCGAGCGCAAACGTTTCATTTCACTTTCCCACGCCTCACGGAACGGTTGTAAACAAATAAATCATGAAAATGTCAAATCAGGAATTTAAACGCCAAAAAACATTTTTGAGTATTAAAACACATAAGAAAGACATTCATTAAATATATGTACAAATGCGAAATAAAAAGATATTTGTTTGGAAACTTATTAATAGTAATAATACAAATTTGGCAATTTCGAAAACCCCAAACTCTAAGGAGTACTCTAAACCCATCTCAAACATAGTTGAACTGACGAGATCTTAAGGCCGATTAATACAGAATTTACAATGAATTATTCTATTACCCATATGTACAATGAGGTTAGTTAATAACCACAGTCGTTAGGACATGTCCAGAACGACACTGATCCAGATCCATCACCCATAACCAAATAGCCGTTCAGATAATCAAACCTAACAAGCTCATTTTCGAAATCACCTTCTATAGCTCGTGTTCCTGCTCTCATTCCCGGTTTGAAAACCTGTTTAATACAGCTGAGATTATATATATGATCATTTAAACTCACCCTCATCTCTCGCCTCCTACTTATAGCTATAATAGAACCTCCTGTATGCTTTATTTGCCTAATTGACTCCATTTCAGACTGAATGATATAATGAGAAGATGAATTAAGAAGCAACACACATTAAATCTTCCCACTCCTAGTAATGTCTTTGGGTCGAGGAAAACTACTTGGCCTTTCGCTAATCCACAGACAAGTTGATTAGGCCCAAGAGAGAGCCATTGTGTTCTTCCTTCTTGTAATTTCTGAACAATAGAAAAATTAACAAGGAGGTGTGACGATATACATACCCTACTACACACAGGTAAATTCGTCTGACGCCGATCAACCATAATTACTTTGTTATCTTCGCCGGCTGTATATACATAGTCACCCTGAGATTGAGAACTATACAAGACTGTTAAGAGACTGTAGTACCGAAGCTTCCATTGCGAAGATGGGTCCAGTGTGAAAGCAGTACTCTCCAACTACATTTAAACTATTCTTCACATCTAATATGATGGTCTGAACACAAATAGCATATACCATTTCGTAAGCTCAATCTCTTCTTACCTTCCGAGTATATGTCGAAGCAGCACAATGAGTTTCCCCTGTATAAGCAACACTAGTCACAGCACCATTGCCCCTGGCAGATGCTAATTCCTAAAAATCATTGGAATTATTAATTCAGTTGAACTATAGAAATACTCACTTCAATTTCTGATTCACCTATGTTCCATAACTTGATGTAATCATCCCAACTGCCAGTGAGAAACTGGTTGGACTGTTTCTGCGTATCAATACTCCAAATCCATCCCGAATGGGCTCCCCGTAAGTCTGCCCGAGAGCAAACTTTGGGGTCAGTGTTCTGTTTGACCAATTCCAAATCCCATAGCCTAATCGATCCATCACGACTGCCAGAAAGACAGTAAGGCTTTGAATCATTGAGAAACATTTTGACCGAGTCAACAGTTCCTGTATGTCCTTGAATAGACTTCCTGAACACATGTTACAGACAGTCCGATTGATTAAGAAATGTACCTCTCTTTGATGTCCCAATACCCCCATCTCCGTTCCTCGGATTTTAGCAAACTAAACGTCCTTGCATAAGAGAATCCAGGAGCAGTCGTGGAAATCGGAAAAAGTTTGATGTCCGCCTCATGCTGGAAAAAGTGTTTGATACATTAAATAATTTCAAAAACAAACCTCGATGCGAGATTTCCACCATCTCTCGTCAGATACAAAACTATCGAAATATTTACAAACTAATCTAACTGACATCAAAAGATCCTTCGGAGGAAGAAAGGAAAAGATAATTCTAATAATTTCTGGAGGCAATTGTAAAATATAACATTCGCTGGACATTTTCTGTAATTACGGATTAGAAAAACATATGAGCAATGCAACAAGTAGGTGGTTTGATCCCAACAACATGAACAGTTCAACAAACGCAACATATAAGTAAAACTTTTTTTTTCCACGAAAACTTATGATAGATTTTTGTAAATACATTACCCGTGTGAATATTTACAAATAAAATTCGAAAACAAAAATTCAAACATAATAATTTAACCTAGTAGGATCCAACTGACTTATGTCATAACTAGGCTTCCAGTGAAGCTTCTCTGGACGTACTATGCGTCGGCGACACATTGACAATGGCCATTTATATGCCCTTTTCTGAAAATCCAATTCATAACTTCCAAATGAATATACTTTCTACTCACTCCAGTTTTCACATAATAATTCCCCTCTTTGTACAATAACAGTTTGTCGCGAAGCAATTGATTCACGATGTCCGTCGGATGGATTCTTGTGCTGAGTGACATGGATTTTACAGAAGTTTGTGCCAGATTTCGCACAGATCTGCAACGATAATGGTAAATGCATTAACCTTATATGGCACTACCGTAAGTAACATAGGATGCTGGATCTCCAATAGCCACGATAAGCGAACAAGCCTAAATCGGAGAGTGGATGCTCTGGAGAACCAACTTTCAGTTCGAGAGCTGACAACTGATAGCCTGAAGATGGAATGAATGAAAATCCATTTGAAATCTCTATCTATCTTACTCATATCTATTAATAGTCGACCGAATCCCTTTCTACTCTCGCTTGGCAAGGTTAGAAGACACGAAAGATTATTGTTTTTACTCGGGTTTTTCTCCTATTCATAAATAATTCAGTTAGGGAAGTGAAAATGAGATGGAACCTTTGAAAAATAACCGACAATTCTACAACCTTCCTCTGTGATTTCGGTTAAGATATAGAAAAGGAACGTATCCACTTCGTGATGGAGAGTTTTCGAAGAGATGAACAGCTTTGCTAGTAAACAAAGGTTCCGACAGTAATGCTGAAATATATTTATGAACTAATGAGAGACTGATATGAAAACCTTTTCAGCAGCTCCGTCAACTTCGAAGAATGAGAGCTCCTCGTCTCGGTAGATTTCATTTCCCGGAGGATGGTGGAAAGGACAGTACGCCTAGAAAAATCATTGAAAAATGCATTTTAGAATCTAATGTTACCCTATGCAATCGATAAACATGGAAGTCACTTGTTGGAAATAGGCAAAACGGACAAATGAAAATGAATTCACCATTCCGGACGTCTTCCGGATAAGGACTTTCATACAACGCCTAGAATAAAGATGAGTTGGAATGAAAAATGAGAACTCATGACCTTCATTTTCTGTTTTCCCCCGATATAAACCCATTTCCCTACTGTACTTTGAGTGATATCACGAGTTGCTAAATATTCCATTTCAGCTTTGTATTTCATTTTCGCCGATTCATATCTACAAGAATCAATTATCATACAACTCAAAACGCATGAAACTAGTACAAGCTTCTATCCTCTTCGATTGCTAAATTTGGTAGCTTTTTCGAGTTATCAGTGACATCTCTTCTCTTTCTGGGACTTGTGGACACACCATCCTTTTCAATGTTGTGGAAGTCCATCAAGTTATCCCATATCTGATCTCTAGAGGATATAATATCCTCCGATTTCGATGTTTCCTCGCCAAGTTTTCTTAAACCAGTTTCTAAACTCAGACATAACAAACAAAACTACCTGCTGTTCATGATGTTCCGTGTAACTCCCTTGGGCCGCCCCGGGCCACGTTTCTCTATTGTGAGCAAACCCTTGTCCGGAGAGGATTGTGGGGAAGGAAAGGGACTCCATGCAGGCAGCTCTAACCGATTAATTATCTTTGCAGGAGACCTAATAAAAAAACTTTTAATCATACTTTGATAAAACCTTACAGGTATTTAGGCGGGCCAACTTCTTTGATGCATTTGTTGCAAGTCCAGACTGACACACTACCATGACCTTTCCCTTCCGAGCACGAACCATGCCAAGCATGCAAACAAACAACACATTCCTTATTATTTACATCATCCACCAATTCTTGGCATACGTCACAGCGAACACACTGTAAATCAAGCATAACTGTGAATGAGAAAGAGAGTTATACCTTCGGACAAAGCCAGGAGGTGAGATTCCTACAGTTAGTTTCCATTACCTTTGAATAAGACAAGCATTTTTGTAAATGATCTGGAAACAATTGAAATAAAGAAAGAAATACAAGCATTATAATACAATTTAAACTGCATTTCGAACAAGTTTCCAAAGATCCGTTAGTTTTAAAGCATAAAGTACAATGAGGGACAGCTTCTTTACTGAAAAAATACAAAAAAAAAACTAAATGATACTCATATGTACTAACCTCTTATGTAGCCGCCTTGTTTTCATGGGAGATGGCTTAGTATCAACTGCTGATCTATCAGTGTTTGATGGTTGTAACACACTTTTCCTTTTTACTGAAGTGCGTTTATTCCTGGGTGATGATCGACAGTCATTATTCTCCGTCTGAGTGGCCCAAATTAGAAAAAAAAACATCTCAATTAGCATACGTTTCCAGACTTAGGAGTGACATCTGCAGAGCGTCTATGTTTTCTTATAGGAGTCACAGGGCTAATAACAATTGATGGCGAAGTTTTTTTATTACGTATCCTGAAAGAAAATAAAGTTTGAAATTTGAATATATTGATCACGTGGTAGTCACGTGAATCAAAACTGCATTTCGCACGACTTGTAGACGCAGAGCGGTTGTTAAGATAAGAAAAATAAAAATAGGTAAAAACATACACAGATTTTATTCCTTTCTTGTCTGCAGAGGCGGCTGATAGAGCAGAAGCTTCAATAGTTGATCTTCTGACGGATCGTCTTGAAGGCATCCCCTTAACACTGATCACATGAATTATAAACATTGCAATTACGAGCCATATATTGAAAAAGGAATCAAACAAGCGATTGATTATGTAGGCGAGAAAAATTTCGAAAAATACTGAACAATAATTAAGCTATTAAGATAATAACAAGCTTGATAGAAGCTACATCTTACTTAAACTCTTATTCAAATTACACGGCATTCGTGCCAACGCGCAAGCGCTGCGCATTCGAGGTGTTGTCTGCTCTCCTCTCTTTACACACTGTCTCGCTTCTCGTTTCTACTCCCCTCTCCGTCCCTCTACAGCACGTCATCGACACAGTCGTCGTCATCTACGACAGCACTTTGGATCCTCAAGTCACATCACTAATTCGCGATTTGCTGAATTCCTACCGTCTCATACGTCTTGGTCACGGCCAGGTTTTGATAGTTATAACCTAATATGACTTCCAATTGTGTTTCTTCATGGTCGTTAACAGATATCGGCAGAAATTAGTGTGAAAATGGAGTATAGAAATGTATCTCCGTCTCTTCGCCCAATGAATATTGATAATTGCAGTTGTAACTTGTATTGTACTCAATTTCTTCTAGTTCAACTTCGATTGCCTATATAAAAGTGTGTAAATAACAGTTTCTTCTACAATCAAGCTTTCCCGCTGTTTCGTTCAGTTTCTTCTTTTCATGCGAACAGCAGTTTCATTTTCCTATTTCGAAATGTTTCAAAATACCATCCACTCTATTTCTATTTGGTGTCGGGATGAGGAAAGAGCGTCGCTACATAAATCATTGATTTTTCCAAAATTTCATTCATTACATCCGCCTTGAAGATTTTCTTACTTGGAGCACTTGATTTGTGACTTAATTCACTAGAACAAATTGGGAGACGTTGAGAAAGACTAGAAACATGTTTTTCAAGTTATATAACACCTGCTGCTGTCTTTTCTGCATACAAAATGTTTTTTTAAATCGCCCGCTTCTATGCTCCTCTCATATTCTTCTTCTTCACCTAAGTTTCATTCACACAGACGCATAGATAGACAGACGCTTTAGGGTACACAATGACCAGCAATTTGGAACCTGAGGACAATGTGGTTGCACAAGAATCCGACAACAAACGAAGGGATTCTCGAATAATATCCAATCCTTTGGAAGGAGCCAATGTTATGGTTATCTTATTCGGTTGGGCCGGTTGTAGAGATCGATACTTGTCAAAATATGCTCAATACTATGAAAAAGCCGGGTATGTTTCATAATTTCTAGTCTGACGTTCAATATCTGAAGTTCAAGTTCTTATGTCCTCTTTTACAGTTTTTCTACAATTCGATTTACAACGCCGATAAAGAAAGTATGGTCGTTTGCTTCATATTCTCACTTCGCCAAGTGTTTCTATAAGGAAACCTTCGGAAATGGAAGCAAAATCCCTGACAACATTTTCTTTCACGTATTTTCCATGAACGGATGTTCCCAGTTTGCCACATTCTGGGATCATTTGCATGAAGTAGAAGGTGGCGATAAGATCAAACAGAAAGTTAAAGGAATCCTGTATGACAGGTAAACTATCAGATGAACAAAACAATGCCGCGCACGGCACACACACACACATAACGTTTTAGTGCCCCAGCCTTTACTAGTCCATCTCAATCTGCAAATGCAGTTAGCTTCGCATCCCTTCCTCCTCCAACCTTCAACTCTACTGTACGTAATACATATAGAGTGATACTTCTCACTTTTTTCTCAATGCATCGGTGAGCATTTGTATCAAAACAAATTTTAATTGGAAACTCAGGGGAATGATTTGGATGCAATCACTGCTTGACGGTGGAGCGTACGAGAAAACATATGCCTACTTCCGAATGTTAGCAATGGACGATCTACCCAAGAATCAGATATTCTTCTATGGTCCTCTTGATGATGTAAGCATAATTAATACTGTTGAATCAAAAACATTCATATGCAATGGCTCCCAGCAAAGCCTCATTTGCATTTCGAAACTGTTGAAACACGTGCAGTACGTGAGATACGTGAAAACATATGCCATTTCAACGCGTATACAGCGTGCAGACGGTTGTGCCATATGTGCAAATTTGATTTTGTGAGATATTAATAAGTTTAATTGTAGGTATGTTCCCAAGAATCGATAGAACATTTTGCGAAAGAAATGGAATCGCGTGGAGTGAATGTAACTCGCAAGATAATGAAAGATTCCCATCATTGTCAACACTTCCGAACGTACGCTGACGAATATACAACGGCATCCCTTGATTTCATAAATTCGCTTTCTGGGCAAGTTAACAATAACTTAGATTAGATGCGATTTGCTCCTTATAAAGCGTAGTAGAGAATTGGAAAAAGGAGAAAAAACGTCTATTTTGCGGTGATTTGGAATCTAATAAGCCTCTTGTCATCAATCCTTGTTTTCATCAAATCATTCCATAATACTATTTGACTAGTCACATAATTTGATAATTTGTGTTTGTCCCTCTCTCTCTCCCTCTCATTCTCTCCTTCAATCTCTCTCTTCCTCTCTACTGCATAATATAAAAAATAAGTAATTTATTAACCACAAAATGTAATAAGAGCTTAATAATAACTGATCTTCCCGGTAACTCTCTTAGATTGTGCAACAATCGCATGCTATTCCGATTCAAATAAAAGAATTTTTTTTCATTTTGTTTCATTCACCAACCTTCATTATGATATCATTTACTGTATAAGGATATGACAATATCAGTTTGTGTCAAAGCAACTTGACTCATACTCGCTTACTCTTACTACTACTACTACACACACACATACACATACACGTACACGTACACCCATACAAGTACAAATAGAAAGAGATATTCTGTTTTGCGTACTTTATACTCTTATTTCAATTTTAATTAATTACTAGCTGTGAATGAAGATAGCATCAATCTCTTCTTGTTCCTCCTTTCTTCTCCTCAGCCGCTCTCTCTCACACTCTCCTATCTTCTAGCTCACAGTCTCATTCTCTCTTCCAAAAAAGGAAAAAAACAAAAAATATCTTCGGTCTAATATGTTTACAAGCAGTTATACTGTTATGATAACAAAAATGTTCTTCGATTGACAAAAAATATGATCAAAAACGATGAATACTTGAAAATATATTGTAAATATGCTTCCGAATCTTCTCATCTTCATTCAGCCGAGCAAAAACGTAGACGAGACATTTATAATGTTTACTTATATGGGATTAGAGATGTTTATACGAAGATGTAGAAGATCAGAAACTCTCTATCTCACTCAGCTTCAAATCATTTTGTGATTAGAAATATGAATTATCACACATACACACACTGAGACACACACACACATGTACGTCTTGCTATACCAAGATGCAATTCGAAGATGAAGATGAAGTACAAACGACAGCAGCCAAAAGCTGCCTAAGTTGTTTTCTCCTGATTCACAAATTATTTTTTTCTCCTTCTCCTCATTCAAATGAGCATATATCTTGCTTTCCTCTCTGTTCTACGAATTCATCTGTTCACCTCTGAGCTGAAGACCTTCACATCTGAACATTCAAATCGTATCTTTGCTCATGAATGGAAGATTTTTCATCATTTTTTCTAATTTTTGATATTTGAACAGATATTTGTTACAGTTGCCTATTATTTACAATTAACTGTTCATTCTGTTTCTTTCTGTCATTCCCTCTGTCTCTCTCTCTCTCTCTCTACCTTTTCCTCATCATTACTACTCTCCTCCTCCCCTGTACTTGCCATTCATTCATAACATTTTTGTGTTAAGAAACTTTTCACATGTTTTTCATCGAAACCATATTCTTAATGTTATCTATATATGGTTATATATATATCTCTATATATACGAAGTAACTTGTTATATCAATGATTATGTTGTTATGATTTTCATTATATTCAATCTGCTGTTTTTCCACTTTATCCTTCCCACAACAAACTCTCAGCTAACCAACCAAACTATTCGCTTACTGCATCAGACATCATGTGTTTCCTCTCTCTTTCTCCTCTTTTTGCTTCTTCTTCATCATCATCATCATCCTTCTCCTCTTCTACTTCTTCATTTTGAACTTTCAATAATTCGTTAAAGCAAGTTCTTCTTCTCCTCTCTCTCTCTCCCTATCTCTATCTATCTATTACAGACACACGCTCACACACATACACATACCAATCTTCAATTACTTTTTCATATCAAAATATCTTTTTTTTCTTTTTTCTGCTTTCAGCTTAGCTCTTCCTTCCAATCTCCTCTCGTTCATAGGCTTCATGATATGCTACTTCTTCTTCCCCTCTTCTCACTAATAATCATTCAAATCGATTGAGATGTTTGTTTTTGCATTTTTCTTCTTCTACTTTTACATTTTCTTTTCTCATTTCTCCTCTGATTCTTCCTGTCATAGATGCTTAATCTGAAAACATGTGAAGAGCTTAGATGATATGAATTCCATGTTTTCTCTCTCTTTCCTTCCTCCCTTCCTCATCCCCCCTCTCTCTCTCTATCTCTCTCTCTCTATCTCTTCCGAAGTTACAATGACAGAATTATTGAAGAAGGAGAAGAATAAAAAAAATCTCTTGAAAAGCTTCTATAGATGAAAACATATATGGCATTGATCCTTTCCAATTAAATGCGATCATCCAACATTCTTATCTCTATCGCTGTCTCAAAAGTCTTTTATAATCTTCGGAATTGCTTTATCTTGCCTTCTTCTCGCCCCCCACTCTCTTCATCTTAGACAGAGGTATATGTATAGAAGGATATGAATAAATAAATATCAAAATATCACAAATTATATTCAAATCATATCTTCACGACTCTCGGAGAGTTGTCTTAAAAGACACAAGAGAGAGAAAGAGAGAGAGAGATGGAGAGTAATAAGACATATAGAGAGAGAGAGAGTGAGAGAGGGAAGATGAAGATGAACAAGCTTCACAAATTGTTATTTCAAGTCTCAAACTGTTCTTGAATTGTCCATATACTCCTCACGGGTGTATACCTCAACTGATTTACCTCATTTTGTTCTTTTTTCCAATTTGTCGTTGTGCACTTTCCCTAGAAGATCATCCAAACAGTATTTTAATTTTCATTTTAATTATACACATTTGTATGTTAAGAGATGAAGATATAGCATGATGAATACATAGAGGGAGAGAGAGAGGGAGAGAGAGACAGAAAGAAACAAATCGGGGGGGGGGGGGGGGGGGGGGAGAGAAAAAAAAA